AAAGGGTTTGAAGATGCTGAATAATGGGACGGATCAGTTGGATCATCTTCTCAGCATTGGGCAAAGTGATCGATGTGGTCTTGGATTCAAAGGTGAATCTTCTAAAGCTGATGGTGTTTCTGTATCAGCAAGAAAAACTGAAGGTGTAACTACGTCTGCTACAAAGCCAAAGGTCAAGGTGTTTGCTGGGAATGCAACAAATGGGAAGACTGCAGTGAAGGCTGCAACTGTTGTGAAGAATGCGACTACTACGAGTACTGCTGCACGTACTGCTACAGTGATTGCTTCGGGTAATGTTTCTGATCCTAAGAGGGCATCTGAACGAAAGTTTCGGCCTATTTGTCATCACTGTGGTGTTGTTGGGCACATTAGGCCAAGGTGTTTCAAGTTGTTGAGGGAGAAGAATCAGATGGAGCAAGTATATGGTATGAGGGGTCATGGTCCTATATGTTATTCTTGTGCAGTTCAAAGGCATTTTCGACGTGATTGTTTCATGTTTGTTCAAGGAGCTAATCATAGAGGTGTTAGGCTTAGGAATACGTGGTCAAGCTAATGGATATATATATATATATATTTTTTTTTTTTAAGACTCTATAAATTTCTATATTTGACCGGCTTTACCCCAAGATTTCTTTCTTTGAATGAAATGCAGAAGAAAATGCAGAATTATTGCAGTTCAATTATAACGCAGTTTGTTCCACATTATTTCCATTGAACACATTTTTTTACAGAACAAATATAAGCATGCAGATTTAAATTGCACAGAAAAATTTTAATTTGTAAATAAGTAGAAAAAAGAGGTGAACATTTGCAGATGACCAATAATATAAATTTATTTATCTTGACTATTAATTATTAATAGAGAGCTTACTTTATTAGTTCATGTTATTCACTTTCAAACAAAATAACTCAATCCTTAAAAATAAAATTCAATATTTTGTTTATGAAATAATTGATTTTAAAAAAAAATTATTTTATAGAATAGAAATAGTTTATAAAATATTTACATAAAATTATATTCATTTAGGATTTTCAGAATTTTATATGTTATATTTTAACTAGATATACATATTATTTTGTATTATCTATTTTTGCAACACTAAAACATATATAATTTTTACATTGTTAGAAAACATATATATTATAGTTTATTTTAATTTTTATTCTTCATTATAAGTAATATAGTTAAAATAATTGATACATGTTTATAAATTTATTTTCTAATATTTTGTATAACATAGTCTAAAGAATGTATCTATGTTGTTTTGTAATTTACATTTCATTATTTATAAATAATATTTAATTACAATTATTATTTATAACATTTAATAAAGTATTATAATTGAGTAAGTTTATTGATAAATAAATCTACAATGGTTTTGCACTGTGTTTGAAAATCATACATTAATTTGTCAAAACTCGTAAAAACAGGCAAAATTTGTTAAAATTCGTCCAATATCAAAATATGATTTTTCATATATTGAAGTAAAATATAAAATTTCAACAATTTTGTATTTAAATTTTCACATCAATTTTAGATAGCTACATAATTATAATATTTTATGATTATTATATTAATGAAAATTATATTACTTAGTTATATAATTATAAATTTCTATTTTAATTAATTAAAAATAAAAAAAAGTTCTTAGTTGAACCGGTTAGACCGGTCAGACAATTGACTCAGTCACTATGTCGAGGTAGTATCCGATCCGGTTTTCAAAACACTGATTTTATAAAATCATGTTGATCTGCAATTTTGGTTTGATATGCATTTGATCTACTTTATATGCATTATTGGTTTGGTTTGCATTTTGTGATCTGCATCTACAGTCGAAGCCTCTAGCTTTGAATGAAGTATAGGAGAAAATGCAGATTTGTTTCAGTTCAATTATAATGCAGTCTGTTCCGCATTTATTTGCCATACAACACATATTTTGTAGAACAAATATAAATGATTAAAAAATAAAAAATCTGTATGTAGATTTAAATTACACAGAAAAAATTAATCTGCAAATAAGTAGAAAAAAAGAGGTGGAGATTTGGAGATGACCAATAATATAAATTTATTTATCTTGACTATTAGTTATTAATAGAGAGCTTACTTTATTAGTTCATGTTATTTACTTTCAAACAAAATAACTCAATCCTTAAAAATAAACTTCAATATTTTTTTATGAAATAATTGATTTTAAAACAAATTTATTTTATAGAATATAAATAGTTTATAAAATATTTACATAAAATTATATTCATTTAGCATTTTCAGAATTTTATATGTTATATTTTAACTAGATATACATATTATTTTGTATTATCTATTTTTGCAACACTAAAACATATATAATTTTTACATTGTTAGAAAACATACATATTATAGTTTATTTTAATTTTTGTTCTTCATTATAAGTAATATAGTTAAAATAATTGATACATGTTTATAAATTTTATTTTCTAATATTTTGTATAACATAGTCTAAAGAATGTATCTATGTTGTTTGGTAATTTACATTTCATTATTTATAAATAATATTTAATTACAATTATTATTTATAACATTTAATAAAGTATTATAATTGAGTAAGTTTATTGATAAATAAATCTACAATGGTTTTACACTATGTTTGAAAATCATACATTAATTTTTCAAAACTCGTAAAAACAGGAAAAATTCGTTAAAATTCGTCCAATATCAAAATCTGATTTTTCAAAAATTGAAGTAAAATATTAAAATTCAACAATTTGGTATAAAAAATTTCACATCAATTTAAGATAGCTACATAATTATAATATTTTATGATTGTTATATTAATGACATCATTCATGTACCCCGAACGGCGAATACAAAGGCGGATCGTCTAGCACGAAGTGTCAGAAAACAACTGTCCTTTGTCGTTCACATGGATACCGAGTCCCCTGTGTGGTGCACAGAGTCAATATGAGTTTGTGTTTTTGTTGATGACAAAAAAAAAAAAAAAATTAATGAAAAGTATATTACTTAGTTATATAATTATAAATTTATATTTTAAATAATTAAAAATAAAAAGTTCTCTGTTGAACCGGTTAGACCAGTCAGACAATTGACTCAGTCACTATGTCGAGGCAGTATCCGATCCGGTTTTCAATACACTGATTTAATAAAATTATGTTGATCTGCATTTTTGGTTTGATCTGCATTTGATCTACGTTATATGCATTATTGGTTTAGTTTGCATTTTGTGATCTGCATTTGTAGTCGAAGCCTCTGGCTTTGAATGAAATATAGGAGAAAATGCAGAATTATTTCAGTTCAATTATAATGCAGTCTGTTCCGCATTTCTTTGCCATTCAACACATATTTTGCAGAACAAATATAAATGATTAAAAAATAAAAAATCTGTATGTAAATTTAAATTACACAGAAAAAAAATTTAATCTACAAATAAGTAGAAATGTAGAGCTGGACATTTGCAGATGACCAATAATATAAATTTATTTATTTTGACTATTAATTATTAATAGAGAGTTTACTTTATTAATTCATGTTATTCACTTTCAAACAAAATAACTCAATCCTTAAAAATAAAATTAAATATTTTGTTTATGAGATAATTGATTTTAAAACGAATTTATTTTATAGAATATAAATTATTTTATAAAATATTTACATAAAATTATATTCATTTAGCATTTCTGAATTTTATATTTTATGTTTGAACTAGATATACATATTATTTTTACTATCTATTTTTGCAACATTAAAAAATAGATAATTTTTACATTCTTAGAAAACATATATATTATAGTTTATTTTAATTTTTATTCGTCATTATGAGTAATATAGTTAAAATAATTGATACATGTTTATAAATTTTATTTTCTAATATTTTGTGTAACGTAATCTAGTGAATGTATCTGTGTTGTTTGGTAATTTAAATTTCATTATAAATAAAAACTTATATATTTAGTTTAAATATTTATTTTAATTATTATTTTAGAAAATCTAATAAAATATTATAATTGAGTAAGTTTATTGATAAATAAATCTACAATGGTTTTGTACTGTGTTTGAAAATCTTACCGAACTGACCGGTTGAACTGCCTGTTACCGGGTGTTTTAAAACCGGAGTTGAATTAATTTGTCAAAACTCATAAAAACCAGCAAAACCTGTAAAAATGATGAACCAGTTCACTATAAAAATATGATTTTTCAAAAATTGAAGTAAATATAAAATTTCAACAATTTAGTATAAATTTTTTCACATTAATTTAAGATAGCTACATAATTATAATATTTTATGATTATTATATTAATGAAAACTATATAACTTAGTTATATAATTATACATTTATATTTTAATTAATTAGAAATAACAAATTTCTCGGTTGAACCGGTTCGACCGGTCAGACAATTGACTCAGTCACTATGTCGAGGCAATATCCGATCCGGTTTTCAAAACACTGGTTTTATAAAATCATGTTGATCTGCATTTTTTGTTTGATCTTCATTTGATCTGCTTTACCAACATTGTTGATTTGATATGCGTTTTGTGATCTGCATCTTCATTCGAAGCCAAAGTCAGTCATTTTCAGCAAGAACGTTATAATTTAGAGCCCAGAAAAAAATGTATTACATTGGGCCGAGGAGCAGAACTTTACTTGAATTTCACTTTTATCTGACCACGATTCTGAAACTGCAACACTTGGTTCAAAGGTCAAAGTTATTATGATTGCAAGTACAAATTTGTATACAAAAGAGCTATCAATTTTAAGAAAACAAAGTTTTAGCTACTAAAAATCAATCTTAAGAACAGCTGAATGAGTGATATAATGTGTTTTGGACTTCTAAAAGCAATTTCTAAAGTAAAGACCATGACACTCAACACCGTAAGCAAAAAGAAATTACTAGAAACCATCACACTCAACACCTGAAGCATATATTCAAGAACGGTACTCCGAGCAAAATATCACTATGACTACAAAATAATTCATTACCTTGACTCTAGGTTTCTAGGTTCTCATCAGACAAAATACCTTGGGTCTTCGCTCTCTCCTCGTCTCACACCGTTACTCCTCCTCTTCTCAGCCATTATCCTTGCCGCTCCTTCCCTCTCACCAACTCCTTCGCCAACCATCTCTTCCATTCCACGTACCTCTTCCACTGCTCGCACCTCCTCTTCCCCATTAGACCCAAAACAGCTCAAAGCTGTCAAATCTCTCAACATCCCCACCGTCAAAACCCCATGATATCACCGCCCCTTTTCCAAAACCCCCACCACCGTGAAACCTGCGACGTCGGCTCTCCATTCTGCCTCGTCACCCATCTCCTTCACAAACGGCTCCTCTGATCTCTTCATCTCCTCCACAACACTCAAATTTGATAAGAAGATTAATACTAATTACCTCTGGTCTATATGAGTAATTGGCAAACAACATTGAATGAATTAATTTTCTTCCAATAATTTTGGTAATTAATAATTTGCTTGTTGACTATGTTATGATAATTTTCAAATTGTATTCCCTTTATAATAATGGACACAAAATATATCGTAACTACAAAAAATCTTGATAAGAAATAAGGATTGCCTTGTAACACAAAATGACAAATAACTTTTCGTAACATGCTTATATGAATTAATGAATTGAATACATATTTTGAGTGGAGATAAAGATATAATCAAAGATGATGCATTTTTTGCGGAAGTTTAATCCTTTTTCCTAAATTATTGTCAATTATAAGTGCTATTGTAACTGAATTTAATAATTTTGAACATATATATAGTTGGGTTATTTAGGTGAATATACAAATTCTGAAGGGAAATTAGGTGATCAGACAACTTTTTTTATTAATTTGCAAACCGTGTATCAGATACGTATACAATGACCTTTTTGTCCATTTCGTATTACTGTTCAACCTTATGCTTCTCAAAAACCAATTTGTAGAGTTATGGGTCGGTCAATTAGGCAGATTTTGTGTCGGTCAAGTTGGGAAGAAGATATTTGATTGATGTAATTAAGTTTTTTGCATGTTGACTTTTGAATGTACGGATATAAATGATACATGTGAGAGTTAATAGTAATAAGATAAGTGTCATTCATTATTACACGTAAGAGGTATTCATATTAGTATATCACTATAGAAATGCATAGTATATGTTAATTTGATATGATATGGTGGATAGTTTTATGATAGCAGAGTAAATATGAATTAATGAGTTCACTTGTAGAACATAATTATAGTGGGAACAATTTATTGCTTAAAGACAACATTTAAAAGACCCAATGGAGCATGGATTCAAAATAAAGATTTAGCTGAAATAGTAGAAGAAATTAAAAGATTTAGTTTATAAGCATGTAGATTATAATAGCCATTACAATTATGAATCCAGCCCAGAGAAATGGTTTAAGAAAAACATATATGTTAACATGTTAGTTAGACGGTTTAGGATTATATATCCTTAAATTATTAGAAAAATATAAAAGTGTAAGCAAAAGCTTAGTAGACAATAAGTTAAAACCATCCATAGTAAATTCCTTAACTACTGTATTGGTAATTTATAACTGGATATTACACAAATATCCGGATCAAATTTGTAATAACTAGTAATATGATTTTCTTAAAAAAGATTAAAATATTGGTTAGCTCCAAATAGAACCACTGATAATCATTTTATCTTATATATTAAAACAGAAGTTGCAATCTTGATTCATGTGTGATATTTTAAAAAATGGACCCTCACTAGAAATCAATTATCATTCATTTATATTCTTAATAAAATGGCTTAATAATATTTCATTCCTAATATAATAATAGATTCTTATAAAACCGGATTAGGTAACAAACACATATTTGATTCATTAATAAATTATACTTAGTGGTAATGTAAACCATCGTATAGTTCAAATACTGAACGGATTTAAATAATTCAACTAATGTATATATAATGGTTGTATAAACATCTCATCTATTAAAACAGAACTCCTGACTTCTTTCATGTGTGATTTTTTTTAAAAAAAATTTAGACCATCGCTTAGAAATTTTATTAAATGTATTTTATTAAAACTAATAACATATATAATTTTAAAAATAGTTTAATCATAATTTATTTTTATATCTTTTCATTTTGAATATAAATATATTTATTTAAATTTTTTAACATATCTGTTTTAAAAGATTTTTACAAGATCTTCATTTTTGATATTATCTTTAAAATTTTCACTAATTTAAAAATAAATTTGAAATAATATTATATATTAATATATTCATTTAAATTTTTTAAAATGAAAAATAAAAAATTATATCATATTATCTATAATATAATCATAATCAATCATATTAAAGGAAAATTATTATATTGAGCTAAATATAATAAAGTTGTATTAAATTGATAAATTTCTATATTTTATTTTTAAAGTATAAATATTTATGTTCAAAAATAAAATCTAATATGTTGGTAAGACGGGTTAACATTAGCAAACTATATAATACATGTGTATAAATTAAAATGTATTTCATTAAAGCTAGTAATATAAAATATTTTTAATTACTTTAATCATGATATCTTTTCATTTTAAATATATATATATATATTTATATATTATTGTGTCAAAAATATATATTTATATATTAAATTATAAAAATTCTAATAAATATTTGTGAAAATATTTTTACAGTAACTTACTGTATTTTAAGTTATCGTTTATAAAATGAAAAATTTAAATATATCCTATTTTATTTACTTTATAGTCATAATTATCATGTTAAAAGATAATTATTATATTGAAATAAATATGATAAATTATATTAAACTGATAAATTATAAATTTATTTTCATAAATATAAATTTACTATTTTAAAAATATAATATGATGATAGAACAGCTTAAAATTAGCAAACTGTATAATACATATAGAAAAATTAACATATCGTAGATTTTGTCTATGCAGTAATATATTATCTAAAATGAATAAATATAAAAATATTGGTAAAAGAAAATCCAACTTTGAAAGACGGGTTAGAATTTACCATAAATTAAATACAAAATAATTTTCAAATATATTTTCTCATGAATATGTTAATTTTCTTAATAACTAAATCCAAATACAATAAGATAAATATATAATAAGAAGTAACAAGCAATACGGTTTTAAACAATTACATAATATAACATGTAAATTATAAAATGATTGTATTTGAAATAGTTATATAAAAATTTTAAGTATATGATTAACATTAAAAATATATACCACTTATGTTCTAAAAGAAATAATGTATATAAAAGTGAAAACAAACACCCGTACGATTGCGCGGGTCAAAATATAGTTTTTGATTAAAATTAATTGATAAAGATATGAACTTTGATTATCGGATAATACATATATAATCCAGATTATGAGTGTAATAGCCAAAAATGATTTTTGTATCTGTAATATAAACGCATATTATATACATCATGAGTTTGGGACGAGTTATTGTAAGAAATGAAATAATAAGTACATATGAATTTTAACCAGATACTAGATTTTGACCCGCGCTTGAGAAGCGCGGGTTTTATTTTGGTTGTAACAAAGTGTATCAAATGATTCTATTTTTATTATATGATAGTTTTATATGTGAAATTTGAGATATATTTAACGTTTTAGTAGGATCTTTTCAATGAGTTTTGCATAACCGAGTCAGTTTGTGGTCGAACAGAGAATAAAAAAAGTAAGTATTGTGAGAGTATGACAAATTAAAACACATATTACATTTTGACCCGCGCTTGGATGGGTCCATGGCCGAGACACTGAAACACATATCAGATTTTGACCCGCGATACTTATGCTGAGTTGATCTGCATGATCCACCAGCGGCAGACACACTGAAACGATCAATGTTCCTCCATACTCCAACACGAATATGTTATGCCAATTCAGGAATGTATGACTTGGTACACGAGACATGGATCTTAGTTCCCCACATATAAAAAAAAAGAAAACATTATCATTTAGGTTAAACTTTTACAAAACGAAGATATCAAAATCATAAATCTATACAAAACGATAAACTTACATTTTCATCACAAAGGATTAGTTCCATGGTCTCCCCTACGTATTTCATGAAATGTCTCTATGTATGAAGGATTTTGACTTGGATGCGACATGAAATCTTCCTCGGTTTTATATCGCTCAAGAAAGACAACTGCAAATTATTCGTCATTTTTGTTTTAGTTTTTTCAAGGTATGGTGAATATATTGATTAAGAGAGGCTATATTTATAATAGGTAGGGACGATATAAATTTAGGTTACGCAAATGTAGAGAAGAATATTTAGATGATTTGAAAAATATCTCTTTCGAGGAATAAGAAATATTTTTTGAAGATATTTTGAATTAGTTAAGAAGTTAAAGTTTAACAGTTAATGGTAATACCACTACGGTAAGTTGCCGAAATTTATGGAATCTAAACAAAGAATAACTAACCACGATATTGATTGTGGTTAATCTATAAACTTGTAGATGAAGCAATTTATTTATTTTAGTTGGAAGATAATTATAGAAAATAGTTTTTGCAGTATTTTATTAACAAAACGTATCTCGTCCATTAAATGCCACCATGAGAATGATGATATGTTGACATATTTGATATCACTATATGTCGTCTAACTATGGTTTATAAATACGGGTAAATTTAGTGAGACATGAAAACATATTTCATATATGAAGAAAAAACATGAAATGAAGAACATTTGGATGGATTCTCCATTCTCAAATGTCTTAAGATGGAGAAAAAACATGAAATGAAGGACTGTCATTTTTTGGTTGTAACAAAATGTATCAAATGATTCGATTTCTATTATATGATAGTTTTATATATGAAATTTGATGTATATTTTACCTTTAGTAGGATCTTTTCATTGAGTTTTGCATAACTGAGTCAGTTTGTGATTGAACCGAGAATCAGAAAATTAAGTGTTGTCAGAGTATGAAGAATTAAAACACATATTAGATTGAAACCAAAATTGGATGGGTCCATGGCCTATAGTAAATTTGAAAAATCAATTTTATTTAAAATGCCCAAAATTGTATTACAAAGTTGTAGTTAAATCCAATAAATATGTTTTTCGATATATAATTTATTTATGTTAGTTAAAATAATTACATTTATGATTTTTGAATGATAAAAATAATATCAATTTTGACCCGCGCATCTTATATAAATTATTTATGTTAGTTAAAATAATTACATCTATGATTTTTGAAAATAAAAATAATATTCAATTTTGACACGCGCTTCTTATATAGTTTATTTATGTTACTTAAAAGAATTACATCTATGATTTTTAAACAATAAAAAAGAATATTCAATATTGACCCGC